GTATCTATTATTTTGAGGACTTTTGTTGTACCGATATAATTGATTACTTTTGGTGTACCTATATATTTGCATATCTTGTCTGTGACGATCTATATGACGCTGACTGTACGTGAGTATAGTCGGTTTTATAGAGGATCGCAAATACTGTTATCGTATGGTCCAGGAATCGACTAAGTGTTAAGAAAAGGTTATTTTATAGCCTAATTTTATTTTTCAACTATTCTTAGGGTTCCGTACCTCATAGGAAAAAATCGGAACCCTTATAGGATCACTTTGTTGTCCGTCTGTCTGTCAAGACCCTTTTTCTCAAAAACGCTTAAAGATATCAAGCTGGAATTTATATCAAATGTTCAGGTCTGCGGTCGCTAGGTGCTGTGAAAAAATAAAACTTCTAATCTAACCCAATCAAAAGATACAACCGTTTATGTCGCAAATTTACGCAAATTATCGACATTCGCAAGGGAATCAAAACCTACAGTGTACTTCCCGTGAACTTAGAATTTTGAAATTTGGCACGAAGCAACATCGTAAAGCACAGATAAAGGAAAAATTGCAAAAACCTTAAATTTTTAGTTCTATCATATGAAAAAATATATAGAAATTCATATCAAATGCTCAAGTCAATAATACCTTTAAGCTGTAACAAAATCGAACTTCTATATCAACGCAATGAAAAGAGAAAGCAATTTAACTGGCATTTTAAACTCTAAACTACTTGCAAGAAAACCAAAATCTAAAGGGTACTTCCAGACTACCTAGATTCTTCAAAATTGGCATAAAGCAAGATGTTATAACACACATAATGGGTAAATTCCCAAAATAGTAAATTTTTAGTTTCATTATATAATAAACACACTTTTATCATCAACGCAATCAAAAGAAAAAGCAATTTAAACCGCATATTTCAAAACTCGCAACTACTTTCAAGGATATCAAACCTACTTTAATTCGACCTAAAATCTTAAAATTTGGCTTAAAGCAATATCTTATAGCACATATAAAGGAAAAATTCTGAAAAACCTTAATGATTTTGTTATATCGCATATAATTTTTTAAAATTATAAACTTATTACTCTTTTTAACTATGACTCGATTGTAGTGATAGGATTTACTTATACCCCTACAGGTTTGTTCGGAACTCTCGGGGCGCGAGTCTGACTCGCACTTGACCAGTTTTTTTATTATATCAATTCGTTATATATACATACATACATTTAAATGTAATCTACTTTTCTACTGTAACAGATCGTATATTTTTAACCTGTTAAATAATTAATTTCTTTTTGAAATTCAGAAAGTGTGTTTTTATTTTCTCAATGATAAAGATATAAAATATACTAACTTTTTCTACGATCGCACTTGAACTAAAAACTTGAAAGAGCATGCGTGCGCTAGTCGCTACCTATCGCGACACGCCCCGCGGGCGCGTGGGGTTGCGCAGGAGCGACGAACGCAGATCCATCCTCGACAACGCCTCGAAAATTCGAATAAAAACCTAATAAAAAACGTTCGGGTATAATTAACATTTTACAGATATGCACAGGTGGTCACAGTTATTCCAAAAGTTTACTTCGTTAATCGTTTATTAAGATAATTTTGCTGAAGAAATGACATCTCTTAATACAAACTTTGGACCACCACTTTAGATCTTTAGAAGATAATTCCATTACTATGTAGTTGCTCGCTGTAAAAATCTTTTACAGCGAGCAACTACATAGTAATGGAAACACATACACGAAACATCAAGTCTGTATATCTCGTGTTTACGCTATGAAAAATAAATACAGATACGAACTAAGACTCCAATTTTCAGATTTGAAAATTATAAATATGTAAAAAGCCTGAAGACGTAGTTAATAATTTGTATTGAAAAGCATTTAACTTTTATTTCATGAAATTCCGCCTAAGGAATAACGTTGCACCTTACAAACTATGGATCCCTATTTTGGACCATTCGGGGATGAATTTCAAAACTTCCCTTCTTAGTAGGCGCCTACTAAGTAACATAAACCTCTATGCAAATTTTTAAGTCTCTAGACTTAGACTCTAGACTTCCTCTCGAAATGGCACCAAACGAAGACGTTCAGTTGTTGATATATGAATTATATTATATTTTCAGCAAGTTGACTGATTATGAACGTGCAAACAATTGGCGTTGGCTTATTTAAAAGTCTCGCATACTATACATTCATTACAGCAAACAGGAACTTCTATGTAAAATTTCAAGTCTGTAGACCCAGGTTTTTAAAAATGACCCAGGTGAAAAATTCAAAAAAATCCAACTCTTTTTGCTTAGAAGTTACATTAACTTTTGTAGCTTTTCTTATAATTTGATACCCTACAACATATGATTAGACACTGTAGCTACAAATATGAACACATACCTACATTTTTTTTGTATTAGCTACCTAAATAACAAAGCTATTATATTTATTACAGTTAAAATGGGATCAAGACATTCGTAATATAAGCAAAAAATTGATTACTTTGACTGTTTCCTTGAATTTTTGGAACACTTTAAACCAACTTTGGCATGCTACTGTGTAAAAAAAAATTATAAACCACGGCACTTAATTATAAAAATTGTCGCAACTCATCAAGATTTTAAAATGCTACAATACTATGATAAAACCTGTGAAAACTCGAAGAACTTCCTCATTTAGAAGTAAAAGTGATTTTTTTGCATAGTTATTAAAATTTTTAATAAGTGTTCAAAAAGAGTTTTCGGTTTGGGATTCAGGCAAAAAAAAATTGTTGATAGATTTTGAGATGCGAGAGAGATAGATATACTATTGATATAGCAGCGTAAGACATATTGTCATCTCTTCATATATATAATTTTTATTGATCTGTAATTTATACTTGACCAATTAATATTGTATTGTATAAAATATGTTTAAAATATAATGTAACATAGATATAGAATATAGAAGATATATTCGTAAGATAGATGTCACTGCAACATACATACCTACCCTTTTTTTTACGAGGGGAAATGCAGTTCCGCACCCCTGCGCCGGGCCAATTGTGCAGTGGCGCAGGGGTTGTGGGGCTCACCTACAGTCGTTCGGCCATACCCACTAAAACCCCTCAGGCCCTCCTCGCCATGTTGCTGAGTCACGGGAACACTTTCGCAATCTTCCGCGACCCAGCCGGCGACCGTCCGCTTGCGCGAACCCGCATATCCGACTTCCAGTAGATGTCCGCCAACGCCAACGCCTCTAACTCCCATGGGGGAGTCCCGGCCAGGACGCATGCCGCCTCGCAGGAAACGGTGCGGTATGCCCTTGCCGCTCGAAGCGCCACAACCCTCTGCAACCTGCGCAGTTGAGCTTTATTGTGGCGCTCGAGGGCATCCGCCCAGATAGGGGCCCCGTACAGGGCCATCGACCTTATAATCCCGGCGTTGAGGCGCCGACAGCTCGCGCTCAGTCCGCCCAGATTAGGCAATAGCCTGCTCAGAGCGAACGAAGTGCGCGCGAGCTTCGGAGCCATCCGCCGGAAGTGCTCTCTGAAGTTCCACCGGCTGTCGAGCACAACTCCCAGGTACTTCATTGTGGACCCGACGCCGATGGAAACTCCGCTCACAATCAAGTGGGCACTTGGCGGTGGCGCTCGGCGAGGCCCGTGAAAACACAGGGCCTCGGATTTTTCCAAGGCCACCGTCAGGGCCAGTCTCCTTATCCTGCCCACTACCTGGGCTACTCCGGCGGTAGCTACCACGCTCGCTTCCCAATAGCTACCGCCCCTTGCCAACACCAGTGTGTCGTCCGCGTAACAGACGACGCTAACGCCTCCGAGAGTCGGGCCACGCAGGACCCAGTCGTAACCGACGTTCCACAATAGTGGCCCTAAAACAGAACCTAGTGGAACGCCGCACGACACTCTTCTCTGTCCTAGTCCGGTATTTGTGGGATAAACCACTGTCCTGTCCGATAGGTAGGCCTTAATCGTCTCACGCCAGTATAACGGGACCCTGTGGAACCGCAGGGCCTCCATTATACATGCGTGAGGCAGCGTGTTAAAAGCGTTGGCGATATCTAAAGATACCGCCAACACGACGCCGCGCTTTAAGGCCTCCTCTTCGGCGACGGCCCGCACCCGTGCAATAGCATCGATGGTGGAGCGGCCGCGCCGGAAACCATATTGGCAGTCTGCCAGATTCGGCCCTACTCGGTCGAGATGCTCGGAGAGACGAGTCGCAATAACGCGCTCAAAAAGCTTCCCTGTTTCCCCGAGCAAGACGATCGGGCGGTATTCCGAGGGCGAATCTGGCGGTTTTCCCGCCTTCCCTATCAATACGAGTTTCCCCGTCTTCCAGTCACCTGGGAAAGTATGGTCCTTGAGGCACCGAGAAAGTAATTCTCGGAACCTGCTGTCTAATCCGTTCCGTAGCGCCAGGACCCAAATGCGTCCGGGGATCCCGTCGGGGCCTGGGGCGGTGTTTTTGGCCTGAAGCCGTGCCACAGCCGCACACAGTTTAACAGATTAACGAGTTAATGCCCACCTTTGTAGATATGTATCGAATAAAGCTTTTTGATTTCTTATTTTCATCGTAGTTTTGCAAATGCACGGCTTTTTCTACCGAAATAGGCATATTTACTAAAGATAAAATTCTAGAAAATTTTATCTTATCATGAATCTGTTCGACCAGAATCTAGTTAAAGGACTAAAGTTACACATACTAAAATATGACTTAGCAAATCTTTTAAGATGTCCTACGCTTTCTAGTAAGCGCATTTTGCTACAGCAGCGTCTTAAGGTTGCAAGGTGTAATATTACGGCTTATTCACATTTAATATTTCTGTAATAAATGAATAGTGAATGACGTCAAGTTACAGCCTTTTCCACTGTATCACTTTTTGCACATTACATTTTAAAATTCTGTTCATTTATTTATCGATACTTTGAAAGTATTATAGTTAGAATCTTGATCTTTCACTCTGGTTATTACCATTAAATTTAAAAAAATATATGTAATAAATATCATTTTCTTACAGTAACGCATTGATTGTGGCTGTGTCGAACATAGTGACGTCATTCTTCGCGGGTCTGGTCATCTTCTCGGTGATCGGTTTCCTGGCGCACGAACTGAACATGGGCGTGGACTGCGTAGTGGGTCAGGGTGCTGGTGCCTTCGTCGTCTACCCGGAGGTGGTCACCAGGCTGTCATTTTCGCCACTTTGGTCTATTCTTTTCTTTGGGATGCTATTGGCACTTGGTCTGGATTCACAGGTATGGATATATTAGTAACTGTTAAAGAAGGAGAGCACGAACAATTTTATCTTGAATCGGTTCCGTGCACTTTTGACACCCTTGTAGTTTTGTTACAGGAAACCTACTATATTGTCATTAAATTTTTGATATTGTTCGTTAACCTGGAATAAAAGTGGTTTATGTAACATTTTTGGCTAAATCCATTTAGGAGCAGCTTCGGAAATAAAAACGATAAATGAATCCAAGCTCTATTTATTTTATCAGTCTATTTAACTACCGTATAAATGTTTAACATCAATATAACATTCAGTCATAAGTACAGTCAGCTTTATAAATACCGTAGCAAACATGATATGCAAATATATACTGATGGTACTTCAATCAATTATATAAGTACAACAAAAGACCTCAAATTAATAGATACATTCACTCTGCTCAAATACATCGGTACATTCACAGCGTCAAATAAATGAGTACATGCAAAGTGCTCATAAATATAGTAGCATCCACACTGTGGCTACAAATATGAACATATTCCTGTATTTTTTATTCTATTAGCTACCTAAGTAATATAGCTATTAAACGCAATTAATAATGGGATCAAAACATTCGTATTTTAATCACAAAAAATAAATTACATAATTTTAGCTATTAACCAACTTTGACATGCTACTGTGTAAAAATATATGAAGAGTACCACGGAACTTAATTACAAAAGTTGGTCTTTTAATTTTGGGACACGCTGTATATGTATTTTTTATTTGTAACTTAAGCTTACTAAGCTTATTTGAATAAAGATCTTGTAAAACATTTTAATTTTCGTTGACTACTTTTTAATTACCTCAAAATTAAGAAATGTCCCGTTTTGAGTCAAAAAAATAAATGGCCACGTTAATCATAAACCACTTTGGGTTCAGGTTAGCCAATTGTATTTATAATTTACAAATAATCAATTTAGTTGATAAGTCAATTTCATCACTTTTCACCTAAACGCATCATCATCATCATCATCTCCCTTGCCTTATTACTAATGAGGCGTCGACGCACAAGGTTTTATAAAGTGTATTATTTTTTTTATCGCAGTACAATTATAATTATCCTAATTATAAGGTTTAACTTCCCTTTTTCTAGTTTAACTAGTAGTCCCATAAACTTGTACTTTTAAATTTAGTTAGAGTCAAGCGAATGCGAATCGTTGAATGGATGGATACATGTTTGTTACTGGGTATCTCCAGAACAGCTCAACGGATCTAGGTGAAATTTGGATTTGATGTAAAACATAGTTTGAAAGAGCACATAGAGATTTTTTTGAATAATTAATTAATACAATTGGCAGTGGCGTCAGTGCCGATTGTAGCGGCGCGGCGCCGCACCGCGGCGACTTTCCGGCGTTGCGCTGTCACACTTGTTGACAAGCAGTAACAGGTTTCCTTCCTCTATTTTTTTTCTGTATATATTTTGATAACCCGCATATATATTATATGTATATATATAGTGAGTCTATTTAAGATAGATTAGTTTGACAATTCACTGGATATGGGTCTAGTAAAATTGATTAAAAAAATTTTTGTTTTTCGATGGATGTTCTCATAGAATTTGCAATCGAAAATTTCGTGATTATTAATTTTGAATGACAATATTAATAAAATTCCTACTTTATTCTTCATAACGACGTAAAGAAATAAGACATAAAACCTAAAATTGCGGTGTTGACAAACAAAAAAGATATTTTTTTTAATTAATAGTGCGATACATAGTCAAATAAATGTAATAAATTTAAAAAGTTATAAAATACCTAAATTATACTATCCATTTGTTGAAATATTTTATTAAGACCGATTCTCGATGGTTCGCAGTTATTCGTTGTGCGCGACGGTTCGACACTATGATAAGCGTCCATTAAGTACAGCATTATCCTTAATAATCCTTAAAAAAAATTATTCGACATTTTATAGGCGTCAGTTGTCAAAGTAATCTATCTTAAATATACACACTATAATAGCTTTTCAAATTATGATACACTTTGAGAACATACCCATACTACGTGACCTATTTTTTTAGTTTTTTTGACCCCCCCCTCGCCTCGGTGACCACTCGTAGTAAATGCCAAGACAACCCCCCCCCCCTCTTAAGTTTTTACGTAGTAATTCATAATTATGATTTTTAATCATTTCACAGGCAAAAATTTAAAAAATAATAATTTGGCTCATACTCTATAGAGTTATGTATTATGAAAAATAACAACTAACGACTACTTCCTGTGACTGACCCTAATGTTTTAAGGACTCCCCCCCCCCCTAAACGGGTCACGTAGTATGGGTACGTTCCTTTATTTTAAAGTAGGCGCAAAATTTTTTTTCGTCTATCTTTTATGCTTTGTATTTTCGAGAAAAATACTCGCCATCGGGATTCATAGCCTTATGAAATATGTAACTTCTTCATAACAAACTATCAATAAGTCTCTTACATTTGCATTCCATTGCATTTTCCGAGAAGATTTACTATGGTAACATATATTTTTTTAACCATCGGAAAGTAGAGATTTCAACGAGCAGAAAACATACCAACTTTCTGAAAAAAGCTGATATTTTGACGGGTGAATTTTCTATTGAAAATTAGGGTACTTTTTCGATATAAATTCAAAATAAGGTGAAAATAAATATTTTTAATCAAATAAATTACAGCGTATTTGGGACATAAAAAGGTAAATTTTCACTAAATTGCGTTAAAAAAAATTATTTTTGTAAAAGATAAAAATAAAAAACCAAAAACTTGGTTTTTGAATTTTTCACATAAATTTTGATTTTATGTGAAAAAAGTGAAAATACACAAGTTTTAGATCTTTTTGTTACCTACAACTTTGCCATTTGACTTTTTTCGATAGGACTTTTAGTTTTGCCGGAAATCGAGAAAAACCGTTTTTTACCCTTAAAAACTCACCCTCATCCCCTTCCCGACCTCAAATCGCCCGTGAATTATTTTTCCTTTCATTTTTATAATATTCCCCTCCTTTTCTAATGAGTTTCATCCTACTATTATTTTTTTTGGTTTTAAAAATTATCGATCCTTGTCAGGAATGGAAACTGCAAATTTTTGGCGGCGGTGATGTGTTTTGGGCCCATAAGTGATGATATAGTCGAAAGATAGTACGCGATAGCTTAGTAAATACCTATTCACTCTACTCTTGAAGGTCCCCACTTCATACTTGTATTAAAAAACCGACGCTGGCAACTTTTTATTTTGAAACTTAAAAAACCTAAAAAAGTACTGGATAGGTTAGGTTAGGTTTGGCACATTTTTAATTAAATTGAAAAAAAAATCTTAAAATCGAAAGTAAATCTTAGACTCCAGCCCACTCAGCCTATTGGTAAATCTGCCACTGGGTCTTCCTCTACCTTTGTAGCCATCCAAATTCAATCTCATTACTTTTTTGTTTATATGACCATCATCCCTCTGCATAAAATGTTCTAAGCATGCCAATCTTTTGCTCCTCAATTTAGATTTAGTAATAAAACTACTTAACATCAGAGGTAGCTCATAACATTTATAAATGAATAATAACCAATCCAACATGTCGAACTTTATAAATGAGTTGCTACCAATCATTTTGTTATACGTTAAACTGTCTTTATACATATATGTGTATACAGCATACATCGCGCGAAATAACTAAGAAAGACGAAAGATCACGGGTGGTGTCATTCTTATCACTTTTAAAACCGTTATAGTTCACTAGAACAAAAGTTTTGATTTTTTACAACGACTCTCGAATTATTATATTATATTATAAGATAAACTTTTGATAAATGTACTTAAAAAAATCAATGATATTTTTTTCGGAAAGGTCAATTGCCACAGCTATATCTCGCTATCAGATGCCTTAATTGTAAAAATAATTGTTCGTTATTTTGTACTATTTGTCAATCACTTGCCACACTACTTTTAATGCAGAGTAGATGAGTATGCGTATTATTATCATTTCAGTTCGCGCTGATGGAGACGGTGTCAACAGCAATACTTGATCGTTTTCCGAATTTCCGACAGAATAAAGAAGGTGTACTGATGACAGTCGCTTTATTTGGCTACTTAGGAGGTCTTATTTTCACCACAAATGTAAGCAAAACAATCCTTTTTTAAGATTTTTTAACAGTGGTAGAGCCCGCTTTAAAATCTTCGCACGAATTGGCCCGGCTCGCCCGGTGTAATACCACGACCACACAGAAGATCGGTGTGAAGTGGAAGGAATTTCGTGTTTCGTCTGATGAGTGTGCGTCCCGGAGACCTAATTTAGTCCTCTTTCCCTTCCGACCCTTTTTCTTAAAAGGTAAGGATGTAAAGTGGAAGTGGACTTTCCGGATAAGAGGAGGCATGAAAAAGGAAAATATTTTCTTTCTGTGCATCGTCTCTTCCGTCGATTAAAGGTAGGCAACGCATATGCCATTGCATATGTCTATGGGCAACGGTCAATTCGCCATTTCAGCGATTTCAGGTGGTCGCTCGCTCTTTTGCCACTTTATGATAAAAAAAAGATTTTATTCCATTATCTTTTAAGTCATTCATACATTAATTTCTTCACATTTTTCCATATCACAAAATTGTTTATCACACATCAAAAGTGACTGGGGATCAAGAAAATTTTTAAGTAGAAAAAAATATCCAATGAAAAATTGCTTTGTTCTCAGTGCCGCTTAACGGACAATTTGAATTTTCTTTTTACATTACATGGCTCATACTCTTGATAGAGGTGATACCAGTGGCAAATTGATATTTGCCCTGAGTAATAAACTTTCATGATATCGCAACACATACATATGATAATTAATCAACAGGATATGATCGTAAAGCCAATGACACTGTAACCCCTTCTCTTATAGAAAAAAAAACAAATTATATTATACAAACACTTGAATCGTATCTAAAGCAAGAACACTTCAACATTGCTAATTAAAATATCATTTATTGGATACTTTTCTATGAAATTAAGAGTTGAAACGGTTGACCTACAACTTTCAGAAGAAGCATTGATGCCAGCATCTGAAAGAGTTCGTTTTACCCAGCCACCTATATTTACGGCCGTGGCGGGCTTAAAAGGTTCCCTAGTTGTTTTATACAAATTTGTATGAGAACCTGTAATTTTCTTTGTACTCTTCAACCAAAATACCTGATTCGTATTTCTATCTGGTGAGGCACTAAGGGTTCGGTTTGATTGCTGAAAGGATGTCGAATCTGTCTTTGAACCTAATTTGGGATGCAATGCTATTGAAGCAATATTATCCACGAATTGGGTTGGATAGCAATGTCAAAGTGTTAAATCATGAACCTAGGCCAACGAATGACCAACCTTGCATCCCAAATTGGTAACTTCGGTGGTACAGTCTTAGCCAAGAAAATAGCTTTATTCATATGTTTAACTAGGTTGTTAGATGAGATCTGAATGTTGCACAGAGTTTCACAAACAGAGGTTTTGACAGATTTGTGAATCAGAATAGAACGATAAACTAAACGATCAGTAAAACACAGTTTTGCTAATTATCTAGCCACGTTTTCAGGTAAAGGTCGCCTAAAGTCCATATAGTTTTGAACACACCACTGCAACCACTTGTTCCGTATAGGAATAAATGTCCTAAGAGTCGAAGCTCTCCAACATGTTGAAAGAAGCTGCTTGTCCTGTAGTGTCCAATCTCCTATAAACGCGTTCCACCCCAAATCAACCAAGCTTCCAAATGAAGGCTCTGAATCTGTGCTGGTGATCGGTTTATTGATGTTTCTATTAACAGCTTGTAGATCCAGTATCCTTATCGGACCTATTAGGGCCCGTCTCTTTAGGTCGGGACGCCAAAATGGCTTCGTCCCCTTGGTTGCCGTCGCCATGCCTAACAGATACCACTCCAAGATCGGCACCGGTTTTGTATCACCCCGGTAGGTGGTGAGGGATCCCCGAGAAGACGGCAACATTGTGTAGTCCGATGTTGCCGAATCTTGCGAAGGCACGAGGTAGTATGTTCCTGGAGTCGTGCAGAGGGTTCTGGTGCGTTCCTTTGGAGATCCCGGGACCCTCGTAGTCGCACTTGAGGTTGGCCACCGAGGGGGTTTTAGTGAGTAAGAATATCACATAACCCTGTCTTTCCCCCAAAAGGCAGGGTATCTTACGAAGATTTCCCCCCCGATATCAAGAAAAAAAAAGGTGGTGAGGGATCAATACAACGTTCAAGCTGTCTGTCAGGACCAGAAGATCATTTGTCAGCCTTAGAAGCATTGCTGACTTTGTTCCGCCTTCGTTTTTCGTGTACGATACTACTGTCTGCTTGTCGCTTTGTAGTATTACCGTTGAATTCATCTGGCATTCACTGGCGCGCAGCTTGCAACAGGCGACCCATTGGCGCGCTGCTCGCTACATACGTGTCACTGGCGCGCTGCTCGGAACAGACACGCTGATCGGGCCAGGCGGCCCATTGGCGCGCTGCTCGCTACAAGTGCGTCACTGGCACGCTGCTGGGGAGAGGCGCCTTACTCGCGTCAGGCGCTTCATCGGCGTCCTGCTCGCGACAAGCTCTTTACAGGCGCGCTGCTCATCGGCAAGCGCGGCTTTTATAAAGTTAGGTCCCTTAGGCGGTGACTTGATCTCCTACATGGCTTCTCCTGTCAGCTCAAACACCAAGTATATTTTTATGCATCTATAACATTCATCAAAGGAAATGCCAAACCAAACATGATATATATTACCATATTTACTTGACCACCACTAATGAATAAATGGATTAAAACCGATCCAGATAATCAATTTCAGTTGTTAGGAAGGTTTTCTAAATTAATTTAAAAACCAAACCTTGACTTACTCAGGATCAACACTCAAAAATATAAAATGTAGGTTCAATCTTAAGGCAATACAAAATGAATAAATAATGTGACTTCCGGCAGCTAATGCCACTTACACCAATAATGGTTTGAAAATTTTTTCCCTCCATGTTACATGCATACCAATCCCAAGTTTGTCATAATAAAATTTTATTGATTCCTCACCTTTTGGTTTCACTCAACTGACATGTTCCCTAATTTGTTTTTATAGTGTGTTTTTAGGATAGATTTGTTTGACAAGTGACGCCTATGAAGTATGGAATTAATTTTGTATGACGATTAATGTTGTTCTTAATGGACGTTTGTCCTAGTGTCGACTTTACGCGTATAATGATCAACTGTTAACGATCGAGAATCTGTCTTGTAATAATATGAATCTAACAAATAAATACTGTTACTTAAATACTTTATAACTTTTTGAATTTATTAGAGATATTTAGTTATGTCTCGCGTAAATAACTAAAAAAAACAGTCAACCATTTCTTTTTCTCTGTCAACATCTAAATTTTTGGTTTAATATTTTAAAATAAAATTAAGTTGGCATAAAAAGAAACAATTTTATTCATATTGTAATTCAAAAACAATAATCACGAAATTTTCGATTCCAGGTTCTATGAGAACAACAATCGTAAATCGAAAAGATTCAAAATCGATTCTACTCAACCGATATCTAGTGAATTGTCAAAGTAATCTATCTTAAATAGACACACTATATATATATATATATATATATATATATATATATATATATATTTGATATATATATATATATATATCAAATGGAAATGCTTGAATCAATTTGTCATCAACTGACATGATGAATAAATGAAGTATGCCATTTATATTTTCGCTCGGCTACAAACCTTTGCCGTGCAATTGTATTGTAACATCCTTTCATCTCATACATATTTATGACAGCTTCAAAATTCCAATAATTGCTTTTAAATCCGGACTGTTAGCTGGCCATGTTTCACTATTCATATTTCTGTTATATGACATATCCAATAATCCCATTCGAGCGACGCTCGAGAGTTGACGTGTTTTGTGTTTTGTAAATTGTTTTCACTCGTAAAATTGCTATTGGATTAGATGCGCAACTAAGTGCTCGCTTTTTTTTTCGATAAAAATATATAATACAAATGTAATAACCGGTTTCAAGCACTGCATTGGCATACACGCAATAAAGAAAGAAACTACCAGCGGATATTAGTCAACGGTGACCGAGACTGAAACACATAATCGGACAAACACCACAAGATCACCAGCTGAGCGACGCTGTCGGAAGCCGTACTGATGATCGCTAATCAGCTGGTGCTCCTCAAGGTACCTCATGAGCTGCCAATTGATGGTCGTTTCCATGACTTTCGAGAACAAGGTGGTAATGGCAATCGGTCTGTAGTTGGACGGGTCTGAGCTATCGCCTTTTTTAGGATCGGGTGGACTATGGCAGTCTTCCATGACTTCGGGACAATGCCAACTCAGGAGTACAAGTCCGAAGTACGAGGGGGAGTATACCGTCAGGCCCACTCGACTTAAGAATATCTAGAGATTGCAGCGCTTATCGCACTGATCTCTAGATAAACTGGATTTCGGACATGGAGGTCTCGTCGCAAGGGATTTTCGACAGCGAGTTTATCTTTGTCATCCAGAGAGAGTTGGCCGCAAAAAGAGAGCCCAGGAGATCGTCTTTCTCTTTTGCGGTGTGGGCCAACGAGTCATCCCACCTGCACAAACATGGTAGGGACGGTTTACAGAAGTTCCCCTGGACAGCCTTGGTAAGAGACCAGAACACGCGAGTTCCCAAAGGAAGGTGCACTAGCCTCTCACCAATGCTGGCCACGTGTTCTAACTTTGCCTTGGCAATCACTCTTTTGAAGGACCTGGAGGCAGAGTTATACTTCTGATTAAGCTGGCTGGTGTTTACAACCCTAGCTGCTGACGCCTCAGCCCAGGCTCGATAACAGTCCTGCTTGTAGCGCGCGGCTAATTTGCAAGACCTACCAAACCAGGGCCGGCGACTGCCTCCGATGGGCACAACAGAAGACGTAATAAAAAATCCATCCCCTGAATCTGAAACTGAAATCACATCGGTGACAGAGTCGGAAACAGCGTCGGGATCATCCAGCCTGAAGCAAACTCGCTCCCATGGGTAGGATGCAAAAAAGGCCCGCATCTCAACCCACTCTGCCGACCTGTAGTGCCGCACTTGGCGAAAGCCATTTGGTTTGAACCGCGGGCAACCCGAGATAGGCACTGTGGTCCGGATCAGGCAGTGGTCCGACGTGCCCAAGAGGGCGTCGACAGAAACCTGATAGCTGTCCGGATGAGAGGTCAGCAAAAGGTCCAATAGGGAAGGTGTATGATCTTCCACATCTGGGATTCGCGTGGGCGAGGCGACCAGCTGCGTCAGATTATAAGACAAGGCAAAGTCCAAAGAGATGGTAGTAAACTGCCTCCAAGTTAGAAAGGAGCCCCCTGATATTGCAGAAGTCCACTGCGTGGGTGGCAAGGAGTGAAAGTGCCTGGCCTCGTTTGCTCCGGTATTTACATCCAGCGAGCGGCATGGTGCCCCCCCCCCCAGAATACGCCGCGCGCTTGCCCCCAGACTCCAAGGGGGAGTTCAGGCGTAAGCGGGCGGAGGGGGATTCTCCAAAACCAGTGGTTTTGGGAGGTCCCTGTGGTACTTTCTCTTCCAATCCCACTGCCATGCTGTATTAAAGGGGTAGGGGGGGGGGAGATTGGGCATGGAATGGAATATTAAAGTACCCGAAAGGAAAAGAATACTTAAACCTTGGATTACATCGGGCCTTCTCCTATGTATAATAAATCGAGACAAATTGCGTTCCAAGTACAAAAAAGATCCTGACTATATGATCAAAAAAGTTACTTATACTAGATATCGCAACTTCTGCAACAACCTATTAAAAAAACTAAAATGCGAGTATGAAACAAATAAACTCCTACAAGCTAAAAACAACCCTGAAGCGACAAGGGATATAATTAAGTCCATTATGTGAATGAACAAGCGTGCTAACAATTCATGTGAATTACTAAATCTCCCAGGTAACATGAATACAGTAAACTCCGTCAATGAGTTTTTTGCAAATATTGGAAAAAACCTAGCTATGTCCATAAATAGTGAAGGATCTTCTGAGAGTCCTCTAATCACTAATCCTGACATCAACTTAATTCCTTATATTTGACTGAAGCTGATTAAATTGAGATTAATGACATAATTATGGGCTTTCGTGATACAGATCGTATTATTTATACCTAGTTATTTGTTATAACTTTTTTTTTCTGTAACGTGTGGAACCGAATTTTATGAGCTAATAAATATAAACGTCATTTTTACACTATCCAAAACATATCAGACACCGGTGGGACAGGCCCTTTAATATAGCAAATATAGTACACATGGACATCACCGAGAATCTCAGTAATATAATACGGAATCAAATAGACTACATTATTGTAAACCAAAGATTCCGTAATTCTATTAAAAAATGCCGTAACATATCCGGGTGCCGATATTATAAATATGGTTATAAATAATGGTTTACCTATTGTTTCCAGAGCGGAATGTACTGGCTGCAATTGATGGACAAGTACGCAGCGAACTGGTCGGTGCTGATCATGGCCTTCGGCGAATGCATCCTCATAGCGTGGATCTACGGCGCAGAGAAATTCTGCCATGACATTCAGGGCATGATCGGCCGCAAGTCCAAGCTCTGGGTCATTTTCTGGAGCGTCATGTGGCGTATCATAACCCCCGCTGCTCTAATGGTAGGGACATTTAGGTCTATGAACCACTCATTTTATGACTCTCACTAGGACAGTGCATAAAGACGAATTATTGTGAAATATTATTATCCGTTGTCAATTTTAAACCAACACTAAAACGTCGTACAGTTCGAATTCAGTAAATAATTAAGAAATTCTCCATACTGCATTGATCTTGGTATATGTTCTACCAAAAAAGAAAATCGACATAAAAAAATCTCAAACTCTCTATAAAAAGTTACGAGTCTCTTTTTATAGGTACGAATCCCGGTGTCCCAGAAAAGAATGATGGGACGCCATATTGTCCCGTTTTCTTACACGGCGCGGAAATTTAAGCAGTTGAGTCAGTCGACGCGAGCGGTGCGTGAGGACGAAACCACATTGTTGGTGAATCCATCCGAGGAAACCCAGTTCATATTTCAGTTATAAAGGCGATGTTGTTGTTAAGACGAATATAAAAAAGTGGAAAGAGTTTCATACTTGCCTAAAATCAACTCCAGGTATTATTAGGTATTCAGTGTAAAGCAAAGTTGTCTCTTTGATAGATATAAATATTACTAAACGTTTCGGCTTCGTATTTTTTTAATTTCTAACTTAAGCCTACTGTTTTTTATTTTAAGAAAGAATTTAAAATAATGTTATATTTTTTATTGACAACCTGCTAATTACCCGAAAAAAACAATTTTCCGTTTTGAGTCAAAAAAATAATTTGTTCCACCAAGCTTTATAGCCTCTAAATCCAAATATTCATTCTGAGTCAACTTCGGAAAAGTTTGTAATTCAATGTTTCATAGAAGCCTCTAAGATATCGAATTAATACAACAACTCTAGTTGGCACACCACGGCTTAATTACCGATAGGTTATTTCAGTTTTAGAATCAACTTTTCAATTTTAAATATTTTATTTATAATTCCTCTTTCTACTTTAGTTAGTTCGTTTAGTATTTCGGTTATTTATGTAAAGCAGTTATGTGCTGAGCTATTTAGGGCGGTGTGCTGGAGTCGTTTAAATCCACCGAGCACCATACTCCCGACAACAAATAAAGAATAACTACTCGAATGAAATTATCCCTTAACTAACCTGACACTCATTGACCTATAAAATCCTGTAAGAACTGAACAATGAACAGAGACTGGAATGTTTACATGCACTATAATTCAAATGACACCATAAAATAAATAGATTAAAGTTTGCAACAATGATAGCTTACACAATAAGTGTAAATTGCATCAACTAATATGTGTTTAATTCTTCTTTCTAGTTGTGTCACCTATTTGTCTTAACCCAAAAGTAGTATGAGTTTCATACGGTTAACTTTAACGATAAACTTTAAATTGCGGTGAACTTTCGATAATTTAACGCTTTAACGATTAACATTTGGATTAACTGTATCTACCAGTGGATAGAGTATTCCAAACTTCTTCCGAAGAACTGTCCTCCCACTGACTTTTATTTATAGATTCCTCATTCTGTCTAAATCTTTGTGCGCCATTTGTTCCTCACGTACCTCTTGTGTTCTCCATTTATATCGCTGTCTTGAGTCAAACGGACGCGCGGCGAACTCCTAATGATAATGTTGCACTTGTTTACAGTATAGACGAATGAAACACTCGGTACTGCGTTAGGGAGTGAACTGTCATACAGAACATATGGCCCCACTAAGTATACTGAATATGTAAACAGAGAGAGCGAACGCTAAATAGAAAAAAATTTAAAATTTCAGTTAATAATGGTGTTAAACTGGATCGTATACAAGCCTTTATCGTACGGACACTACGTGTACCCGATGTGGGCGGAAGCCGTGGGCTGGACGATCGGAGTGCTGCCTGTGGTCGTGGTAGTGCTCATGGCTGTTCATCAGACATGCAGTGGATCCGATGATCTTACAATATTGGAGGTATGTAAATTACGTTAAATGTTTCTTTTTATTCATTTACTAATTAATGTCACATATGGAGGTCTTAAGGATGGTGTTGATCGAATTTAAAAGCCTCTAATTAGTAGCATTTCATTTTAAGCAGACATCAAAAAGAAGGAACACACCAATTCGTCTTTTTTTATGGGTGCTCCTCGAGCTCCAATATTGATTTTTTTATCTAACGGTCATGCTTGCAGGTGGGTTCCATTATTTAAACGACTTCAAAAAGGAAAGGATTCTCAATTCCTCCGTATGTTCGTCGATAACTCCGCCCCTAGTAGTCCCATTTAATAATTGTTTTTTATTCGAAAGGTGTTGCGTGTCATTTGGTCTTATTTTTTGAATCATTAAAATACATCCAGTAGTTTTTGAGTTATTCCCAATAAACCGTGCCAAAAACTCGGAGAAAAATGGGACAATTTTACTTTCTTGGCTTACGCTGGCTAAACTATACGACCTACAAAAAAAATATAGACATATAATTGGAATCTCGGAATCGGCTCCAACGATTTTCATAAAATTTTGTATATTGGGGGTTTCGGGGACAAAAAAATCATCTAGCTAGGAATCATTTTTAGAAAATTAACAAAACAATACAAATAAATTATAGAAAAATATCAAAAAGAACTGAAAAATATGACTTTTCCTGACATCTATTGGCGAATAATAATACTATTTTTGTGGGCAACTAATTGCTTTAACGACACAACAGCAGATGGCGTTGTTAAATATCGAAAAATATTATTCAAATATAATTTTGTTAGTAATTCGTACTTGAATATAATTTCCAAAAAACACAATTTAAAAAAAATATATAAATATCCAGTATATGTATCCAAATAAGTCATCCAGATTTTTATGTAGTAACCCGCAAGCCCTTATGTTATATTTTTCATTTATTCACATTATAAGCGAAACTTTGTATTTTTATGAGTAGATAAAAAACTGTAAATTGATTTGCTTTGAGTATAAATATATCATTGTAATACAGGAAAAAGAATCGCATGTTTTTGAAAAATGACTTGTGCTCGGTATATTGAAAATTGTAAGGGTCCAAAGGTCCCTTGCAATGGATGCGCGCGCGCCGACTATACGGCAAATAACTACCGAGTGCACAAAAAGTAACCAGATGGAATGTCAAATGTAAAAATGAAAATATTTATTTGTCTCGTACAAAGGGGCCAAAAAGACGGAAATAAATAATGTTGTCTTCTTACTTGATGATTCCTTTTTTTCCGGTTGAAGGACCATATGTAGAGCGAGTGGACTGTGATGGAATGAAAGGCTGGTGGGTTGCAGTTGATTGTAATACGATAAAAGATGATATGTACAAAATAGACAAAGATGATCGATGTGTCGGCGCGCGTAGTGCTGAAGCGGAACTGAAGGTCGCGGTGTGAGGGCGCCGGGCGGCGGGTGAGGTCTAAAAGGGACTCCCGTGCTGCTTCCCCGCCGGTGGTGCAGTAATACGGAACCGGTCCTCGAAACAGTTTTTCGAAAGTTTTCGATTTAATAAACCTATTATTTACATTTTTGGTATGAATAAAAGTTTACGTTATCAAAATGTTCGCAACTTTTAATTTAAACTTAGTACCCTCCTTTCCTCATGAACGTGTAGAGGTTTTAAATTGAAATTCATATCAAATCCTCAGGTCTATAATGCCTGTAAGCTTTAACAAAATCAATCTTCTATATCAACGCAATCAAAGAAAAAACAATTTAAGTCGCATTTTAAACTCGTACCTACCTGCAAGAAAACCTAAACCTAAAGGTTACTTCTAGTCGACCTAGACTACTTAACTTACACCTACAGGTTTGTTCGTAACCTTCGGGGCGCGAGTCCTACTCGCACTTGACCAGTTATTTTTAAACAAATCGTTGTTCTTAATACAATTGTTTACAATTTAAGTTTAATACGAGGATATATAATATAATAGTGATGCATTAATCATATGCAGAAAGTATGCCTGCTGTTGCGTCCAACGGAGGAGTGGCGCCCGGCAGGCACGAAGTGCGCGCTGGGTACGCCGGCGAAAAGCGTGATGCGTACCGAGCCAGAGCTGTCGCCGCCAGTAATGCGCGAGTGCAGCGATTTACCCCACCTACACCCGCTTGTTGTAATGCAGTCTGCAGACAATACTGTAAGTACTGTCGGACTAGTTTATTGAATAGGTTTTCTATCGCTGTCATTTTCATTATTAGTTTCTCATATGTATCAGTAATGTATAGAATTTTTATACAGCGTGTCCCAAAATTCAACGATTAAACGGTAATGGTGTAAAGCCTGATCGTAAACTATTATACTCGGAGAAAAATACAAAAAAAACCAACTCTTTTTGTTTAAAAGTTACTTTAACTTTTTTAAATTTTCTTATAATTTGATACTCTACACCATATGACTATTGTGCAAAAAAATTTATGAAGAGTACCACGGCACTTTATTACAAAAGTTGGCGCAACTCATCAAAATTCTAAAATGCAACAACACAATGATAAAACCTGCGAAAATTCTAAGACCTTCCTTATTAAGAACTAAAAGTGAATGTTATTTTGCTTAGTTATTAAGAATTTTTTAGTTCATACATTTTTTTAAACAGTAGCAAGTAGTAGAAAGTTAAAATGTTAAAAAAAATTCAAGAAAACAGTCAACGAAATTATTTTTGTGCTTAAATTACAAATGTTTTAGTCCAATTTTTAACTTCAATTAATAGCTATGTTACTTAGGTAGCCAATACCAAAAAAAATTGTAGGAATATGTTCATATTTGTAGCCACAGTGTCTAATCATATGGTGGAGGGTATCAGATGATAAAAAAAGTTCCAAAAGTTAATGTAACTTTTAAACAAAAAGAGTTGTATTCTTTTAGTATTTTTCCCCGTGTAGTTATGGATCTGGCTATACAACGTTACCGTTCTATTGTTAAATTTTGGGACACGCTGTATATGTATAATATTTTGTGTGTTTCGTACAAAATAACCTTGTTCTGTCAATAAAAAATTACAGTATTTAATTTTTTGAATTTTACTTTTCAGCCATGTCAAGATAAAATAGAAACTACATGTATAACTGGATCAGTTGAGAACGAAGTGAGAAAGGCAGCTGCATCACCTAAACCTAAACACAGTTCGATAAGAAGTAAAATACCGAATTTTAATGACGATTCAGATGATACAGTTAATGAACTACATTTTTCGTCAAAAAACGATGTCAGTGAACTTTATCAAAATGCAAAAGTTGTTACTTTAAAATCTAAAACTGATCAAAAAAACGAATTATCTGATAATATACACATTATCTCTCAAGTACAAAACAATTCCCCGACGACTTCTACTTTTTCTGTAAATATTACTTTTAAAAGTGTTACGGTAGATGTCGCAAGTGTTAGCACATCCGTAACAGTACCTATGAATACAAATATATTTGGTGACATCGATACTACCACCTCAAAATCTACAAAAAGTTCATTAATTGTTGAAATCGATAACACTAAATCTTCTGCTTATAGCCCAAGTCCCTTAATTTTTACAACGGCTAAAATACATACAGATAATATAACAAAAGAAATGGAACCTCTTCATGTAACGCCAGTCCCTATTTTATCTACTATAGAAGGTAATGTAATTAAATCTATTCCAAGTATACTTGATAGCAGTGAAAAATATTACGACGCAGGAAAATCTAAAAGCGAAAGTCAGCCAAAGTGTAGTAATGAAACTGATTAAAGTAACATTAATATTCAAATATAAAATCAACAGTATGTTGTAGACGAGAACGAAAGACAAACTTCAAACGGTGTTTAAAGGTACGCGTCCATTGACCAGCGCCGGACGCACTGCACGCAAGGTTCGCAACGGATTTTACTTTGCTTTGTATGATTTTACATAGAGCTGCATCCAACATCCGCGCCGCCCTGATTGCTTCAAGACAAAGCAAATCCGTTTAATCCGTGTGGCCAATAGACGCGTACCCATAGTGTTTCTATTTAAGGATTAATTTGGCAATTCATTTGAAAATTCACTAGAAATGGGTAAGTAAGTAAAATCGGTTATAAATATTTTGGATTTTTGAATTACAATATGAATAAATTAGTTCTTTCTTTTCCTACTTTATTCTTCAAAACTAGATAAAAAATAAAACATTAAACGAAAAATTGAGGTGTTGACAAACAAAAAATAATGTACTATTTAATGTTATTTTAGTAATTTGTGCGATACATAGCCCAACTGTAATAAATGTAAAAAGTTACCTGTATACCTGTATTAAAATACCTGAATTATAACACTAAATTCCGATTTCGATTGATTTTATTACAAGACCTACATATTCTCGATAGTTCATAGTTGTTCGTTATGCGCTTACGATCCAACGCTGTGACAAACGTTCATTCAGTACAACAGTAATCCTCATACAAAATTAATTCGATACTTCATAGGCGTCATTTGTCCAACTAAAGATAAATATAGCTTTAATTTCCCCTAACACAAGTTACATAATATTAATTCTGTAAGTGGGTTTATATGAAAAGGGTAATTTTTGAGAAAAAACTCTAGTTTTGAAATTAGGGGATGATTACGGAACTAGACAATTTTAAAAATAAACCTATCAGATAGATATTATCGTCTTAATATTAAAGAAGGGGTCACAACATACAACACACACAACATTCTATTTGTAAAGCATTAACGGCACTTGATTTCATAGCCCCGGATACAATTCTCAACGCTTTCGTCTGTATAACATCTAATTTTTTAAACCCAGTTACATTCCGTGATCCTGATCTGATACACTGATCTAAGAAAAAGCTTTCAGAGTACTCTTCTAATGACAGCATTATACACCAACTTCAGTGTGGCTGGGTGAGCACCCAACCAAACGCCACTGAGATATCTCAACATGTTCAAGTTTCGCTCACATTTCACCTGCAACATCAGCTCACTATACGTCCCCACCGAGGGGCTCGGAGCATTTACATTTACCAACCACATATTCGCAGTGAGGTTGAACTGTTAGTTTTGAATCAAGAATAAGTCCCAAGAATTTTACTTGATTATTAACGGGTAATATGTCGCCATCCATGCCGTATGTTATAGTAAGTAAGGGAGGAGTTCGACATTTAGTGAAAAGTACAACGGTACTTTTTGAGGGGGACAGATCTAGGCCATTTGCATCCATCCAGATTTTTAGAGAAGATAAAGAGGAGAAAACATGTTGTTTAGCAGTACCAACAGACGTATCAGAGGCATCAATAACTAAGTATAACTAAGTAAAAAAATATTCTCTCCGAAAGAAGATTTACAATTAAATTAGTAATTTAGCATTTTAACAGTGGTAGAGCCCGTTTTAACATCTTCGCTCGAACCGGCCCGGCTCGCCCGGTGAAATACCACGACCACACAGAAGACAGGCGTGAAGTGGAAGCAATTCCGCGTTTCGTCTGATGAGTGTGCGTCCCGCAGGCCTAATTTAGTCCTCTTTCCCTTCCCACCCTTTTTCTTATAAGGAAAGGATAGGAAGTGGAAGTGGACTTTCCGGATGAGAGGATGCATGGGAAGGGAAGATATTTTCTTTCTGTGCATCCTCTCCTCCGTCGATTAAAGGTAGGCAACGCATACGCAATTGCGTATGTCTATGGGCAACGGTCACTTCACTATTTAAGCGATTTCAGGTGGCCGCTCGCTCGTTTGCTACCTTATGATATAAAAAAAATAGTAAAAAAATAAGGTACCTTTAATTTATCTAATTTACTGTTTAAAATATGTAACAGAACATTATCATAAGCCAAATTATTGTCCAAGAAAGCAGTAACTACTGACTTTTTATCTGAGAAAGCATTACGAATGTCCGTTTTTAATATGCCTAAATTGTCACTAACAATTTTACCTTTTCGAAATCCAAATTGACTTTGGGACAGATGTTCACTATTTTCTATATACCATTCAAAACTATTTTTAATTAAATGTTCAAGAACTTTTTTGATTGTCGATGACAAAACTATTGGACGATAAGATTTGATATCAAGTTTTAGCTCAGACGGTTTTAAAAATGGTAACACTATTTGACTTCGCCAAGATGATGGAATGTCACTTGTTAATAGAGCTTTATTTCATCATCATCATCAGCGCACTATAAGTCCCCAACGAGGGGCTCGGAGCCTACTCTAAGTTAATGGTGATTAGGCCATAATCAACCACCCTGGACCAGAGCGGGTTGGTTTATTTATCTTTGAATTTCTTCTTAGATATGTGCAGGTTGCATCACGATGTTTTACTTCACCGTTAGAACGTCGGAAATGTAAATCGGAAATCGAAAAACACATTTGAACATGGCGGGATTCGAACTCAGGACCTGCGGATTGCAAGTCAAGTGCTTAACCGCTGAGCCAGCGACGCTCATAGAGCTTTATTTATTATATTTAAAAATTGATTTAGTCTATTTTCGCGAAGGTTTTGTCTCACCTAGGAATATAGGATACTTCTATATTCCTTTTTGTCTCATCCTATATATAGGAGAATATAATAGAATATAGGATGAGACAAAAAGGAACACTTCTATATTCCTTTTTGTCTCATTCTATATTTTGTCTCCTGGCACTGTCTTTGACGTGATTTATTACGCCTTTTAACTCTGCTATAGTGAAAGGTAGATTTAGAGAGGAAGATGCATGGGACTTATTTTGAATAAAAGGATGGATATGAACTTTAAGTGGAGCCAACGGAGGAACCAAGCGGTCAAGGAATTGATCAGCTAATTCCATAGGAAGTAAAGGTGCGTTAGAAGGATTGACAGCTGATCTAAATCTTTTGATATTTCGCCAAATGACAGTAGTTTCAGGTGATAAAGTGCTACATTTTTTTATATCATAAGGTGGCAAACGAGCGTTAGGTCGTAAATCAATGTTCAAAAATAATATACCCACTTATGTAGTTATTAATATAGTGAGCCGATATCAAGTAGCTTTCTATGAAATACCTCTATGAGAATGATCCTATTATTATTGGGGAAATAAAACCAAAATATTGTTATATTGTTGTACATTATTTATTATATTTCTACATAACTTAAACGTTAAATTTATGCAAGTACATATACATCAATGACTTTCAAGATATCAGAGTATAGTGCGGTCACAAAAGAATGCACACCCTATAATTAAAACCAAACCCCAAAATATTTTCAATCACATGCAACCTGGCAATTTGTAGTTATTTGCAAGTTTTAAACACTCTGAACATATTCTCTTACTTACATATTAAATACACATTATTCCGTAGGCAAGCATATCTTTACAATTAAAAAATTACAAACCAAAAAATTTATGTATTACATATACATATATGGACCCACCTTCTAATTCTAAAAATGGGACAGCACAACACATCAGTTTATGGCTCTATAATTCCAGTGATTGACACACATTTTCTAAACATCATTCACCGTCTCTCAGGATGGGGAAAGCCTTGTATATTTGCACCTACAACAAACAAAGAGAATGTGATTTCCTGTCAAGTATAGGAACTGATATTTAAAATGTATTAGAATTAGGGCACCATTCAATATGATTTTACCGGAAAGTATAAATCACAATGGTGCTAAAAACTACACCAAAATACGAAAATATTTAAATATTTAAATGAGACTGACGTATGGGAATAACATGAAATTTTTTATTGAATTGTAACTTACCATAATCAGTCCATCTAAAACACAGTTGCATACAGCGTCGTTCTTCACGAAAACACATTTTAATTAAAAACAAAATGAATGAAGCAACATTTAACTAAGAATACAAGAACAGAAATAGAAATACGAAAAAACGTAGCGGTTTGATGACACATGAATGTCTCGATGACACAAATTATGTTTCTTCTTCTTCTCAGCCATGAGATGAAATGATGTTTAAAAAGATATAAAAGGTGGCGCCACTTTCCATACAAACCGTCCTTCTTCTAAGTTTCCACCCCCTGGTTTACCATATTAATAAAGGTGGCGCCACTTTCTATACAAATCGTGCTCCAAATTATACGCAAAAGGAAATCCTCCATCTGGCTGGTGTCGCGGTCGTCGTTTCGGTGGTACTAGTTAATTCCAATGAGCACAAAAGTCGGGAAAGTCGACACATTTTTATTAACATTATTTAGTTTGTATTTACGATAAACTGCTGCGACATAGGGATTCCATCTAAAATATACCATAAATAACAACCTCCTTGTTAAAAGACTCATCTAGATATTAGTGGTAGGCCTAGAAAGTAGGTGTAAGTAAAAGAAAAACAAAAGAGATTATTTACGATTTATTGAAAACCAAGTTTGTAATCATTGTGGTCAAACACTTTTTTGAAGAATGTGAATAAATCCACTTTGTCGTATTCTCTGTTTGCCTGGTGTGCGTATTTTAGTACCAGCTTCTTCTGCTGCTTGGCACTCTTTAGCAATTTTTTTAAATTAGCCCTTGACTGACACCTGTAACAAATGTTTTGTGATTCAACGTGTGTGATAGAAATAAATTCATATATTTGTAAGACCTTAGTGGCGATTGGGGTAGAGTGTCGTTATCAATAATTTTAATGATAACAGAGTGACTATTTAAAAATATTAACAATTGATATTAATGGTATCCCACTTTTGGATTTGACGGAATTTGAGGAAATTTTACCCTTCATGCAACAGGTCTAACATAACAAATCGACCTGTAAGTTGCTACACCGTTCTTATACAAGAATGTTTATATCTTATTATGTAAAAAAATGATCAATCTTCATATGTCTCCATTCCTATCATCATTTTGGGTAATTTATATATTAGAAACTGGCAACACTGACCTGTTGCAGCTGAAATCCGTCTGTATATTTGATTAAACGCAATGTTAGGAGCCTGCAGCCGAGCTTCTTCTTCAGAAAATGATTTCACCTTTAGAATAATACTCCGGGCATCACTCAGAAGTATCGCAATAAAACACACGGAACACTCGAGAGCAGTAGACACTGACAGTCGAATGACATTTCAACCTGTCACCGTAGTTCCTATTTTTGGCATTCATGATTCACAGATAAGCGGCGGCACTATATCTATCTCACTCATTAATTGCTCTATAATTTTTGGGCGGTTTCTTTAAAAAAACCATAGTGCATATGAATAAATTGTGATTAAAAAATGTATGATTTCTTAACATGTAAAGTTTGGATTCTAAATAAACAACAATTTAATCTAGTTAATTTAAGTATGTAATTGAAAATTTATAATTTATTTGTATTCATCATGTAAGAACCAAGCCCCCCCCCCCGACAACGATGTCCTCCGCCGTCCGCCATTAAACTTTCATTCTCTCATATAACAAGCGAAAATTTTTATGATATTATTATATTAAATTTATTTATCTAATCTTATTTGGATGGTGTGATCGTGGCATTTCACCGGGCGAGCCGGGCCGATTCGTGCGAAGATGTTAAAGCGGGTTCTACCACTGTTAAAATGTTGTGTTTTGATAAGAAAAGTTTGGATTAGGGGACTATTTGTAGCGTCGGCAGTGCAGTTGGCGCATGACCGGACCATATTCTACATATTCAGGTACGATCTCCGCCATGTAGTAATGGGTTCTTCGAATTTCATGATAACATCCATCCGACATTCTTACTGTAATTGCAAATTGCATACAACTGCATAGAAATGCAAAGATATGTGTGAATTCAACCAACCCTTACCGGCCCTGCGTTGTTGGCTAAGACCTAGTCGCAGTCTTGAGGGTAGGCTCCGAGATCCTCAGTGGAACGAATAGTGAGCTGATGATGACGATTTGTTTTGCTTCAATGCATATTGTCTAAATATTTTACCAACAGATAGGAGCTAATCTCTTTCCAGTGTTATTCTATTTCTCCCGACGAGAGTGGCACTACTATTCCAATTCTATCATTCTATCTATTACGAAAACAATCAGCATTTTATGTTCGCTTTAGTCAGAAGATTAAATTAAAGTTGCAATTAACGAAATTGTTTTATTTTTCCAAAATTGTTTTCCCTCGAATACAAATAGTATATATATATATATATAAAATATGATATATATAGATATGCACTATGGTTTTTTTTAAAAACAGCCTAAAAATTATAGAGAAACTTATGAGTGAGATAGATACACAATTTTCAAGGTGGAGGATCTCCGTTTGCGTTCATTTTGTATCACAGATTATAAAAGTTTCGCTTGCCTGCTCGAATAATACTTTCAAACGTCAAAAAGGAAACTGACAGATTGATTTTTTTAGGTTGGTAGCAACGTAGACTTGTTCATAATATTGCTAGCATTGAAAATGTTAATTTTTATTCTCCGTTTGTGTATCTAATTAGTCAAGAGTCCCGTCTCTTATTTTATATACTCTTTGGGGTCACCTTCAAGTGAGCACTTGCGTTTACGTACAGACTGATTACAAAAACGATTGTTTAATTTTCACGGTCTAATTAATTCTGTTCTTTCGATATTTCAGGTACACAATAAGCAGTCAGTATGACAAGTGAACCATTAGCGAAACGTACCAAAATGAGTGCTCTCGACCAGTTAAAACAATTTTCCACTGTAGTAGCTGATACTGGAGATTTTGAAGGTTAGAATAATAGTTTCATATATTATTGAAATAATGAAATTGCAATAAATTTAGTCTTGACTTTGTTGGGGTGAACCGAAAAAGTTTACTAATTTCCCCAAACTAAACTTATAATCTTCAACTTGGACCGGTGAAACATTTAAATAAATAACTTTGTTGGTTTGCTGGTCTTATTATTTGTAAAATTTTTAATAACTTTCATTCGGTTCAATTTTTTATTACATCTCTTTATGTATAATAAAAACTTACAACTTTTATGTCCAGCAATGAAAGCATATAAGCCAACTGATGCAACTACAAACCCAAGTCTTATTCTGTCTGCTGCTGGAATGGAACAATATCAGCATTTGTTGGATAAGGCTATTAAATATGGAAAAGAATGTGGAGGGTGAGCCTTTTATTGTTTTTTTTTTTTGTATTTTAGTTTTTATACCAATATAATATACTGGTATATTAAGGGTATTTAACTACACAAGATTTATTTAGTATTCTTATTCTAGACTCATATTATGGGACTACTCTTATTATACTTTTAATAGTAAAGAATTATAATCTTGACTTTTTCAGAACTATTGAGGAGCAACTTACTGAAATTTTGGATATGTTAAGTGTCTTATTTGGCTGTGAAATTTTAAAAATTATTCCGGGACGTGTATCTGTGGAAGTGGATGCCAGGTAATCATGATACTGATAAATAAATTTGTTATGTAAAAACAATCATGGTTAAAGATGCTTCTTATAGTCTAAAAGCATTGAAGGATTTCTGAAAATATGTTGGTAAAGAATAAACTTTTTTTTTGTATATTTTGTTATCAAAACCACACTCAGATAAAAATGTAGCCATACATATTATGTAACATGGTTAAAAAATTATCACATTAAAGTGACAAATATATACAAAATATTTTGTTTAATAATTTAATGAGGTGACTTTGATTTAAAAATGATAATAGATATCAAGCAATCACTACATTAAATTCTACTTTATCAATAATTTTTTACAATGTAATTGCCTATTTACATTTAGCATAGCCTAATATTTTTATATAGTGTTCATTTCCACTGGCAGAAGTTGCTATACAAAATATTCTTAATAAACAGCTTTGTGGAAAGAGGTACTATTAATAAACTTAAGTAAAATTATAATTATTCTTAAATTGCTTTATAATTAACATTCTTAGGCATTGATTGTTAGGTAATATTGTTTATGTCCAGTTATTTCTCATATGATACATTATGTAAATTTCCTTAGTTGTTGTTTACTCTGTAATTTTCCTCACTTGCAAAATATTAGTCATTATTATTAGTCCACGGTTACCATGAGACTGAGAAAATAGTTTTATCTTGAATATAAAGATAAACAAACATGCAAATATAAGCATAAAACCTATTATTGATTATTGTACATAAAAAAATGTAGAATCTGACAAAAAAAAACAATGAAACAAAATAAGTATTTTTTTAATTATTATTTACAGGTTATCATTTGATAAAGATGCGAGTATGGCAAAGGCAATTAAATTAATTGGTATGTTTGCTGAACAAGGCATCAAGAAGGAGAGGATTTTAATAAAGTTAGCGTCAACATGGGAAGGCATCCAAGCTGCTAAGTATGTATTATTTTGTAATACAGACATTAATTCACATCAGTATTGCTTACATTTTATTAACTGAACCCAATGTGTTTTGTATTGTTATAGGGAACTTGAAAAGAAACATGGAATCCATTGTAATCTCACTCTACTGTTCTCAATGTATCAGGCCATTGCATGCGCTGAGGCAAATGTTACTTTAATATCACCATTTGTTGGACGCATCTTGGACTGGTAAGCTAATATTGCTACAGTTTTTCTGCATTTTTCTGTTGTATGTACCAGGCAATTGTATTGGAACATGGGGCAGAATAGTTCAATTGTGTCTATGCGCCAAATCAAGATCCTTGTAATATATTAATATCGACTTTCAATAGGTATGTGGAACATACAAAGAATACTTATGAAGCTAAAGATGACCCTGGCGTGTTGTCGGTGACGCGCGTCTACAACTACTACAAGAAGTTTGGGTACAACACTCAAGTGATGGGCGCGTCGTTCCGCAACACCGGCGAGATCCGTGAGCTGGCTGGCTGCGATTTGCTCACTATTAGCCCGAAGCTGCTGCAGGAGCTGGCTAATAGTGAACAGCCTTTGAAAAGAGTAAGAACCATTTGCTCTTTAGTAGGTTTCATATTTCAAATTATCCCACAAGTTACACTCTCATCACAAATAGTGATTGTTGAAGGTCAGTCTTCGGTGACATTGGATCTTAAAAGTTTATAATGGTTAAAATTAAACTGTTACACTCATAGAGGAGGTATTGACGACTGTTGAGTGCTTTAGTTTGCCGCATATTGATATGATTATGCTCCAAATAACTGATTAATAACTCGAGTTAATACTAAAAACCTTTGAACATTTATTTTGCCATTTCTAGGTACTGGACCCTAAGGTCGCTGCTAAAAGCGATATAGAGAAAATATCACTATCGGAAGCTCAGTTCCGTTGGCATTTGAATGAAGATCAAATGGCCACAGACAAACTCTCCGATGGTATTCGAAAATTCGCAGCCGATACGAGAAAGTTGGAATCACTCGTTAAGACTTTGCTTGCTAAGAAGTAATATATCAAAATACCGGGATTATTATAAATGGGTGGTTGTTTCAGGTTTTGTTATTTTTTTTTACATATATTTTTTCATAAGTTGTATTTTTGAGAGGAAGAATATCACATATATATTTATAGTATGAATTTCTTATTTGTAATGACATGTTTGGGTCCAAGCTAAAGATGATTATCCGTTTTCCCCATAAGCATATGATGTTTAAGGTAAAATGTTTCTGATCCGTTTTTACATATTCTAAGATGAAGTTTATTGTCTATATTTAACAAAATTATGAACAAAATGGTTTAGTTTTTTAAAAATTTTGTAATATTTGTTTTAAATTGTTTTGAAATCCAGCTTATTTGCAAATCGTTTTATCCAATTTTTTGATGAAATTGAAAATAAGTGATATTCATATGTAGATTAATAATCCATTTTAATCTACATATTTGTTTTGATGGTCATTTGGTTTCCTACATTTTTTTCTGTAAAATTGTTACGCACATTTCAGTGTTCTACATTTTATATACTTAGGAGGATTAATAATAAGTATACAGTTACTTAAATATATATGTTACGTATTGTATCATATTTTGTGCCTTCGATTTTGATACATTCCTATATAAATTTACATATTGTATACATTTTTCGGATAATTTGTAACTTGTTGCATTTATATTAAAGTTCATTTGAAATTCATCTGTGTTTTATAATTATTTTCCTTTAGACATATTGGGTACAATAGCTACACCACTTAACTGTACTACTCCGAAAAATACAGTTAAAAACTGTTTAGTTAAATTCGTGTTTTAACCTTTTGACCGCCGGTGATTAATATAATCGACGTTAACATGGTTATAAGAGAATGTATTACGCTTAAATTTGTATTACAAAAACTACTCCCGGAATAAATACTTTGTCATTTATTTGTCAGGATCGCATAATTAAAAAAAGTCAGGATATCTCTAATATGAGCGTGTGATAAAAGGATGGCAATGATAAAGCAAATCTAATTGGAACACAGTCCTAGTTTTTTATAGTAAGGTCTTAACTTTATTAGTTTTGCTCAGAGACTGATCAATAGTGAGTACCACTGTGATTGTATTCATCGCTCACACCAGAGACGCATTGCTATTTTGGCTAGCGAAACTGGCGACTTATCGTGAGTTTCTGAGACCAAAATTCCTATTCAAAGCCTATTGGTATCTCCGTTTTGTCAAACATAATGAGGGAGATGACGATATGTTTTATAAAGAGATTTTAGTCTCGGAAAAAAATAGTTTATTATATTTTACTAATAATCAAATTATTAATCGAACTGTGCACAAACGATTTAGGGTAACTCAACCCCTGGGATTCAAACTCGATTTTATTCGATATTAGCAGTGTAAGGGATCGGTGTGCGGGCGCCGAGAGCCGGGTGCACTAGGCCGGCTCCCGGTGCCGTGCGCCGCGCAATCGATACGCTGCTCCAGTTTCAGCGACCTTTCTGCCTGCGCCCTAATATCCGTCCTGATTTTAATTTCACTGACATGAAAATCATATTCAACGCAACTACTATATGTATTACCTAACGTTATTTCCAATATTTGAAGATGTGAGAAGTTGAGGGTTTTTTCTTTATTATTAAAAAAAATCTCATTACACCAACAATACAAAAAGTACGGGTAAATTACATTTGACAGTTATCATGGAACTTAACTGTAGGTTTTAACAAAAATAATAAATAAGCTGTATATTATATTCTACGAATTTTTATCTGATGTAAGTTTTCGAAATATCATACTATTAACTTTATGGACAAGGTAATAGCTCGTCTATAACCTCTTACTATAGCCGTTCTAAGTAGTTTTATCTCTTGACTCTTCAAACGTTCAACAAGGGCGCCAAGTGGCTTTATAGACTCTTCATATTCCAACTGTACTAAAATGGCGTTGAATGCTAAATAGAGGTGATGGCTCAGTGGCTGACAGTCAGATTGAAGATATGATGGTGTAGGATTCTATTTAAGGCTATTTTGTGTACGAAATAATTTAATTATAATATCTAAATTCCAGATAGTGAATTTATTCGGGTAGAGATAATTTGTACAGCTAGATATACTGTTTGTCTTGATGCTTACTTGTTTCAGAATAAACGAAAATAGAAGCAAATAAAACGAAGAAGAAAAAGTGTGTTTTCACTATATATTATATAAAGACAAAGTGATAATCACTTACGTTGCAAAATGTTTAGGACTTGTAATGATCGATCGATAAGGTTGTGTCATAACTGCTTTGCTAAACATATGTTTAATATAAAATATACCGAAAATTATTAGTTTTAGGGACGCATAAAGTACTTACAATGAGAAAAAGAATTCGACGTAATGGCAAATGTTTACGTAACCGTTCGCGTCATAGCCGCCCCGTGGTGTACAATGAAGTATGGATAGGTGTTGTGAAGTTGGACAGGATCAGGACATTTCCATGTGATTTTCGCCTGGAGATGCCGGGAATGCGGGGGTGGGCGGGGCGTGCGAGGCGGGGAGCGCGGCGGAGGCTTGATATTGACCTAGATGTTCATTCAAAGTTCGGTCGATGCGAAACTTGACATCTGCGCGGTGCTGCGTTTTGTGTTTTTTCAATTTAATGTCCATTCCATTCAAGGCGATCGTATGATTATTTGTTTATATGTTAATATTAAAAAAAAAATTTTTAAGCGTGTTATTTGTGCAGGGTGTATTTTACTCGTGTAATGTGTGCGTGAACAGCAGGCCGTGCGGCGTGAACTCGCGGAGCGGGATGTGGAAGCAGTGCTGACTGCTTTCAGTACGTCGGGCGCTTCAGTGATCTCTCGTAAAATGTCTCGACACCACCACCGTATCGCTTAATTTCGATTTGTGTTTTAAAATCGAAAATGGAGAGATCAGATCACATTCCCGCGGTCGCCAAAGACATTCCTGCCATGGATTTTCAATATCCAGATGTGAGTATCATGTGTTACTTATGTAGTACATAAAATGATAAAAAATATAAAACATTTGCAATATTTTAAAATAATTATTACTTAATTAATTAACCTTTATTTGGTTTTAATAATTGAATTTGGATTATTCGTTTTACTACTATTATTTGACTGAATTTGTGAGTGAATTCAGTTAGGTTTATAAAAAATTAGAGCTTGGTAAATTATTTCTTAGCATAAAGCTGAACTAAATCGATGTTCGATCTACATTTTGATTAGAAAAGGACAGTCATAAATATTATTCACATAAAATGAGAGATAGTAGCTAAATATCATCTTCTCTTAAACACAGTTTAAACAGTTTTCTCCCAGAGATAAAAACGTTCTTTCAATATATTCAGCTACTATATTAAAAATATACGTCTTATATTTAATAAACGTCTTATACCTTGCCTGAGGGTATAAAAGTTGTTCTGTTATTCTTATTCGGAAAACTTTTTACTTGGAGAGTGTGCGGACAGATCCTTCGGGAGTTGGAAAGTGTGATGGATTAGGTCGTTGCCAAAATACCTATATTGATTTAATATATGTTTGTTGGTCCTTTTTGAGTTAAGATAAAAGGCAAGCAAATTCTTACATGTTATCGTTTGAAGGTGTAAAAGATTATCGCTTAAGAAGTGGATTACTGTTGGAATCTGCGTTTTTTTACCTTAAAAAATTATCAGAAACACATAAAGATCGGTAAAAAATATGTCAGAAAGACAGAAAGTATAGTCAAAGCCTTATCGTGGTAAGCGCAATATGCTGTTCAATTCTGACCTACCTCAATATCAGTTGTGGCTAGTTGTTTGAATTATTCATTTTTAACATATTACAAACAAAATAGCCTAGTTAAAGACGGTGCTTACTTCAAATCAATATATTAATTGGTTCGTATGTATAATTATAGTTAGTTACCGTCGTTGAAAACAAATAGCCAAAATTTTTAGCAGTAAAAAAAACGTTTCTTTTAGCAGCACAATTGCTGTATTTAAATTTTCGGTACATATGAAACAATTTAAATCGCTTAATCTTCATTAAAAATAATATGTTTTCGTAATCATGTAATCATGGAAACTGACAGGAAAATTGAATTAAAATAAAACTCACTTTATACATTTGATAGGTGAAGTAAATTAAATATAAATATACTATTAATTGAAAGATAATCATATTAATTATCGTGATAGCAGATGCTTTTATAATATCATGCATTTAAATTTAAAGCCTTTCATATTATAAAATAAAACATAGGTATGAAAGTGTTTTGCGAATGATACTTCTATTTTAATGACGTCATTTTCATAATTTCATCATTCATCATTTACATTATTTTCGATAACATATTATAGGTTAAAGGTTACCCGTAATCTGTATCATAATTTGTGGCAGGTCAATGTTGAAAAGTTGAATTTAGAAAAGAAAAAAATCTATCAGCCAGTATTATGCGCGAAGATTTTTGTTTTTAATGATAAGGACGTAATGTGATTTTTTAATACAGAGCAATGAAAAAGGAGCAAAGGATCGCAGTGGCGAAAGCGAGCCGGAGCGCGGCAATTGGACGGGCCGCTTCGACTTCCTGCTGTCACTGCTGGGTTACAGCGTGGGCCTGGGCAATGTGTGGCGCTTCCCTTACCTCTGCTATAACAATGGAGGAGGTACAGTTAAATATAAAGTAGCAGGAAACAAAAAATGTGTCACTTTCTGTTCAGTTTATATATCCTATTCACGGACTCGCATGGTTTTCCAATTTACACACCAAGAAGCTTTATGTTTTGTTACTTCGTCTTTGGGTATCTTCATTCACGACGATGCTTGACGTTTCTCGCCTAAGTTTTCAATAAATATAAAACGAAACTGATAATTTTTTCTAATAAAGTTTTTAAATTTAAAAATAAAGCGTATGAAATTATTAATATTTTTTCCACAGTATACTGACATAAAAATGTCCGAAGTAAGTAATATTATGCATGTTTTAATATGCAGTGAAGCGGAGTCCGGTTTGTTTCAAATGCTCTCGAGAATCATATTATATAACGTGAGGAGGCGCCGCTCGTAGCTTTTTATGCAGATTTTGAAAAGAACATCCCATATAATGTTAACTAAGCATTTTCTTAATAACAGTAAATCAACGCTCATACATAGTCAAATTCAATGGAAAGGGGAAATTACAAACCATCATATTATCAATACTTTTAGGGTTCCGTACCTCATAAAAAAAAACGCAACCCTTATGGTATCACTTTGTTGTCCGTTTTGAAGAATTTGAAGAATTTTTTAACATTATCAGCCAGGGTCATATGTAAATATTATTCCTTATTTCCATTAAATTCAACTATAAGTAAATAAGAAAAGACTGCTAAATTACAATACGTACACTAATATCTTGACTTGATTTCTGATTTCAAACCGACTACGTTATATTTTTTGAAGATTTTTATCAAGTTAACATAATAGAGCCGTAGGGGTTAGGGCTTAAGTCGCGATTCCGCGTAGATGCTGAAAATCATTACTGTAACAGTGGCTACACATTTCTGTAAGTTTGAAAAAGATGCAAAGTATATACATACGACCTTGAAATGTTTGATTTTAAGCAATAAAACTTGTCGAGCATTTAGTATATTTTATCAGGGTGGTAGTAATTGTACCCGTAGCATTAACGATATGT